AAAAAAAAAAAAAAAAAAGTCTTACGGATATAATGATGCCAAAAGGTAAAATAATGTTACTGAAGTTGCGTGTGCGAAAAAAAGGTACAGTAGACAATTTTATTAATCTTATTTTAGATGTGTCATTCAATAGTAATATGTAAATTATATAAACTTAATTGTCGACAACTTCAGTTGTCTTAAAAAATAATTTTGATAATTTTTTGAAAAGATTTTTCAGTGGGAGATCTGATTTGCAGCAATATATATGGGCCATTTCATGTCAAATCGCTTACTTTTTCTCTTCATATCTCAGATTCTTTTGAAATTTTACCCATTAGTGAAGTCTTTTATCAGTGTTATTTCCCTATTTGCCAAGTGAATAAAACAACGAAGATTCTGGACTTGTTTAGGCATGTCTGTATATATAGTTGTTTGTTTTAGCAGTTTTATCAGCTTTCGGGCTTCAAATAGCATTGTTGGTGAGTATTTTTAGATCTCAAAATAACGATGTCGCTGAACTGATACAAACTTTTTTTGTCAGCAATACAGCTAAGTTTTTGGTGTTCTTCTTTTTTTCTTTGCTTAAATGACTAATATTCTATATAATGTCAACAAAGTTCTTGCTCAGTACTTAAATTTTAATTTTATATTATTTTTTGATCATATCATTTGATTTCATTCTCTTTTTTTTGTGCAAAAAAAAAAAAAGTTTGAAAAAAGAAAGAAGTGTTGTGTAAAATATACAGATAGCCAAAGATATGTGTATGCGGATGTAATTAAAGGTATATTAGAAATGATATTTAACGCATAAAGGGAACCTAAAGAAACTGCAAAGCATAGGAGTGCAAGTGAAACATGTCGTGGAATTCCATGAAAATTACTGTACCACACCGTGTCAAAATAGATTTAAATATTTGCAAATTTCAAGAGTAAGCTTTCTTCAAAGTATATTAGTCAGAAAAAAAAAAAGGTGAAATTTGGAATAATAAAGTTTTTTAGAAAGGTTAGTCAATTTTACAGCAAAAAAAATAAAAAAGTAAAAAGGTTTTTATCTCTTAGTAAATTGTAAATTTTTTTTAACATCAACTCTTCGTCATATTCTTCGTTTTGATTCTTTTTAAATAATAT